ACAAACCACATCCAGATGCATATCATACAAGTAGAATATTAGATGAAGAGATTGCTAAATCTAAAAGCTTAAAAATTTATACAAGTAATGATAGTCCGTTAAATGATCTTGATTTTAACTCTTTTCTCTTAAATGTTGAAGGTGAATAAAAATTTCATTATTAATTAATTGGAAATTACCATCCATTAATTATTACTAACGATATTATTAATAAACATTAGATTCTAGTAATAATAGTAAAAGAAAAGATGTGATGAATGACTAATTTAATCTCCATTATAAATTTACTTTTATTTATCCTTATTTTTATTATATTTTGGAATTAAACTTTTTACAATTTTTTTTGATTCTTATTAAATGGTAATAATTCGGTGCTTGTCAATTAATTAGTTTATGAATTTACTCTTTCTTGTACCTAGAGCACACTTAATGGTGTCAGACAACTGTAAATAATCACAAAGTTCCTTTTATTTAATTGTTTATTTCAGTCATTTACGTTTATTGACCGATTGCAAACTCACTTTGTTTTGCTTGCAAATCAATTTAAGTAACTTGTTTAATAGCCTTACTTTAATGATTACAATAATACTACCAGTATTTCCGATTAATCTTTAGATGATACTTTGTTAACACCCATTAGTTAGCTAACGTTAGTCCTAGCTTTTGCTTACTCACTATAGCAAATTACATTATTACTTGTTTATAAAATGTAAAATATTAATTCACAGCTTGATGCAACAAATTATATGTTATTATTATTGTTATTGTTTTTGTGTTTATAATCTATATTATTACTATTGCTATTGTTTATTATTCTTATCACTATATGATATTCGAATTATTATCATTATTATTAATTATATTATTAATATTAATATTAATATTAATCATTAATTCTATTCGAATTTTTAATTGATTTTATTCGAATTATCAAATTTTATTAATTTTATTCGAATTATCGGTTTTATTCGAATTATTAGTATTAGTATTAGTTTATTCTTTTTTATTCGAATAAGATTCTTAACGAATAAAACGAATAATTTAAATAAACATTATTCTAATGGAAAGCCTATATTTGAGCCAGCATTTACAAATCTGGCATTTCAATAAGGAATCTTAATGAACAAGTCACGATATAAATTTAAGAGCACATACTAAATTTATTATTTCTAATTAATTATATTGTCATAATTTTCACCTTTTCGTCACATTTACCATTTCGTCAACTTTGTCAGATGTGACGAAATTAATAATAATAACAATTGACGATATAATTTCCCGCTCACAAAAACAATTACATCAATTTCAGAGGATTGAACGAATACAATATAAATATTATTAAAAACAATAATCCATAAATTTAGTTTGATAAAATGTGCAAACGAAAAGCAAAAGAATCATCAAAAGTATTGTTTAGGCGAAACAAAGCTCAAAATGTTTTTTATAGCCCAAGTTAACGAAGGGAAACGCCCTTTAAAAATTCGACGATTTCCAATTTGTACTTTCACGTGAGGCTTGTCCACTCGACAACTTTTGGGCATTTCGTGACGAATTGCGTTCGAGCAACAAATTTATTTTGAATGTCAACTATTGTAAATTTTTATGAGAAAATTTTTTACATAGTACGCAAGTCGTGCTTACTTGACTGTTTTGAGCGTTTCAAAGACAAAGCGCAAAAAGTTAAGTATCAATTGTCAAAAACAGATAGTATAGCGTTTGAACGGGTCACTTAGATATTAATATCATATTAATAATAATATTATTATTCTAAATCTCTCTTTCGAGGACTTTTTAAAAAAGCTAACCGATCCGCATATGACCGAATTGTTTTACAGGTATCCGAATTGATCCTTCAGTAGGCACTTCCAATTGTTTTTTAAATGTTTTCACAAGACCCTCTATAATTTTATCATCATCAGGAACCCCACGAACCATCCCTTCTTCTGGATTATTTAAAAATTTATCAACTGGCATAGCGTTAGATAGGTTAAATAAGTTCTTCTAATGCAGGAACATTGGTTTCTCTAACATTGTCAACAGTATTAATTTATCAATAAATAACAAATATTTGATTAATTAAATATCCATACACAAAAATTACTTAACAATTCATTATCATTATTATGCAACCAAATTTTAATGAATCCTATATTGAGTTCAAATTTAGTAAAAATCTTTTAAGCATTCCAAAATGATGTCTTGTGTGTTACTACTTTGTACATCCCGGATATTCACAATTGAAAGTTTTTGTTCCAAGATGACATTTTATGTGTTTAATTAAAGCTCTGGACGAGCCGAGCCAGCTCGATTTGATGCTATATGCTATTTCATAATGTTTTTATTTTTGCAACCCATTACCTAAAAAACAATTTAGGAGAATATTCTCTTGAGTTCAACCCGAACTTGAAAATTCAAGTTTAACTCGGGCCTGAATCAACTTATAGTTTCTATTTGAACAAGTTTATTCGAATTATTTATTGTATTTGAATAAAACGAATACGAATAATTCGAACAAGAATTTGCATTGCGAATAGAAACTATAGCTCAACTTGATAACAATAAAGATTTTTTAAACGTTTTGCATTGCGTTTTTCTCCACAAATACTTTATACAGTTAAGCATCGTTTCGACGAATTTATAATTAAACTCGCGTCGCAAATTTTTAAAATCATATAAAACTCGTTGAAACGTGATTTTAAATAGATTCGTTGAAGCGAGGTTTAACTGTATGCATATGTTTCAGAACTTAAAAAAAGATTTTTTATTAGAAGCACAAATATTGTTAAAACATAGAATCATTTGAAATTTTTTAAAATTTTCGGAATTTTAGTCTGTTATAAAGAAGATTATTATGCAGGCAATAATAAACTATTTTGTAATATTGTTCAGTAAACGAACTCAAGTTCGTGTAAAAAGTAGCCCATATATTCTATAATAAAGTATGACGTCATGAATTCTACCCTTAAAAAAATTTTTCCCCAATTTAAAGCAGTGCCTGGCTGGACAATTATAATTGAGGTCATGTGCTCAATGCTAGAAAATTTATTTTTGTCATCCTGGTAGATCCACTTTAAAAGCTATGAGCATTAAATTTTGACAGAATAGATGGTTCCCATTTAAGGATACCGGCTGCAACTTTTGATGATGGTTGCTACCACCTTTGCGTCATATAAAAATGATTGCAACCACTGGTTGCAACTGTCTTTACGACCATTTTGTTTCCTTTTTTGGATCGCGACATGGAACACTATTCCCATTATTTAAAAAATGAGATTTGATGATGATACCTTTTACTTTTATATAAGTTTTAATCCATGGACCTTGATTCCAAAAAGCTACATTTTTTACTGTTATTTCGATAAATCACGTGTTAGGTACTGTGTAAAGTTTTACAATGTAGCTAGACATGTGACAACGTGGAAAATTTTGCTTGAATAATCATTCTTCTACAAGTTGAAGAATTATGTAATATATATTATTAATCTTTATGAGCAACAGTAATAATAATAATAAGAGAGAAATGTGCAAAAATTTTTTACTTATTTTCTACATTACATTTTATGTGATTAATTATTATATATTTGTTCAAGTTGAAGCGGCAACCCCTACTAGTGAAGCGTCTCAAAGCACAAATACACCTTCGATTCAATCATCAATATCAAATAATGTTAAATATAATTCTTACAATAATGATCATCAAATCAATGGTATGTTAAAATAAATAAATAATGAATTGGTTGACTCATTGATACATTAAATGATTAATTCTAAGCCCTCACCATCTATTCCATTTTTACATTTGGATAGCTGATGAATTATATCAAACAGCATCGACACTACTATATTCAATAAAGGGATTATTATCATCAAGAGAAAAAACATATACTACTACTAACATTGGCAATGACAATTCAGATCTTAATATTTTCAATATTTTCTACAAGTATTTTTCTAAAACCATTTATTTTATATTTAAAATAAATCTACCACAATCATCACCATCTTTAGAATTTCAAAATATGGGAAAGCAACTAGCAACCAATAATATAATAAAAGAATTATTAAAAGTCATAGAACTATTATTAGAAAAGGCTGCTTTTGAGTTTGGTCATGATGATGCTTTGTATACTTTGGCAGACATGAACTTTGCAAGTGTTTCTTTACTTTTTTTTTTTTACTTGAGTAATTCATGATAAAATATTTAACAACTTTATTTTTTTATTAGTATGGAAAATATACATATCCTCGTAATCTTACAGCAGCTTTTAATTATTATCAAGAATTAGCAAATAGATCTGGTAATTCAACTGCCCAACAAATGATTGGTTTTATGTATGCAACTGGAATTGATGATGTGGTTGAAAGAGATCAAGTAAAGGTATTGTGTATATTTGTGTCGAAATTTATTGGTTTGAAAAGATTTTTAGGATATCAACAGATACATATATAGCTTACATTTATAATCACAATATCTCCTTTATAATTAATCGATCAGGCATTATTGTACCATAAATTTGCCGCATCTGGTCACGATACTGCTGCTGAAATGACTTTGGCATATCTTTATTTAATGGGAATTGGAGTACCAAGAAGTTGTGAAGATTCTTTGTTTTATTATAAACGTGTTGCTGACAAAGGTAAACTTTCTATTAATTATTTAGTAAAGGAAGATAATTTATACAAATTAAAATCACAATAATCGACATTATCTACCCATTTTTATAGCTATTGAATATTATAAATCAGGACCAATTGGTGGTCGTCAACTTCCTCCAAAAAAAATTAGATTATATGACGAGAACGGTGGTATTTATGGATATGGCGCAAGTGCTAGTTCACCTTCTAAATTAATTAATCAACCTGTTTGGGATGATATTTTGGAATATTATCAATACATGGCCAATAAAGGTGATATCAATGCTCAGGTAATTTCAATCAATCTATTTATATAAAAATATATTAGTGTAAATGATCAACATATATATATTTATACAACAGATAGGTTTAGGCCAATTGTTTTATCAAGGAACTAGAAGTATTTCTCAAAATTTTGAATTGGCATTAAAATATTTAAAACTTGCTGCAAATCAATATTGGAAGTCATCATCATCGTCGTCGTCAGGTGCTTCAATGTTAAATGATCCAATCTTATCATATTCATTATCTTCACCAACATCATCTCCTCCTACAACTAATCCAGAGGTTGTTCAAGCAGCTGGTCAAGCGGCTGGAATATTAGGTCAAATGTATTTGAGAGGTGAAGGCGTTGAACAAAATAATCGAACCGCCTTGAAATGGTTTCTTAGAGGTGTTAAACTTTCTAATCCTACTGCACTAAACGGACTTGGTTTGATGCATATGAACGGTGTTGAAGTTCAAAAGGTATAGTTTGATTTTTAAAAAAGAAAAAATAATGATTATATTAATTAATTCATTTCTAATTATGTTAGAGTTATGAAAATGCAATGAATTTGTTTAAACTTGCAGCCAAATTAGATTATCCTGATGCTTTGGCTAATTTGGGCTTAATATTTTGTACTTGTTAACCATATATTTAACTAATTTCAATATTACTTTTTCAAATAAAATACTTATTAATTATTTTATTTTTAATTTTTCAAGTTCAAAAAGGAGAATTCAAATTAGCATATGATTGCTTCCAAGAGGCGGCAGATCAATCAAATCATCTACTTGCCGTTTATTATTTAGCTGAATTGTCTACAAATGGTTTCGGTACTAATCCATCTTGTTCAACGGCCGTGACTGTAATTATCATGAATAAATTTTTTTGTTTAAAAAAAATTTTTTATATTCACTATTATTTTTTTTAGTTGTATAAAAAGGTTGTAGAAAATGGTGACTGGTTGTATTCAACGTTTCCTGAAGCTTATAAAGCATATTTATCTGGTGATAAAGAAAGTGCATTTGTTCATTATTTATTAGCATCTGAAAGAGGATATGAAATTGCACAATCAAATGTTGCTTGGCTACTAGATAGGGGTTTGTTTTTTGTCATTAGCTCATTTTTTGTTGTTATTTTTTTTTTTAAAAAAAATTTTTAATTTTTAATTCAATCAACATAAAAGACAAGTCAATGTGGTGGTATCTGCCACAAATAGATTCAAAAATCAATGATCCTGTTCAAGAACGATTAGCTTTAATTTACTGGACAAGATCTGCAAATCAAGGAAATATTGATGCAAGAGTAAAAATGGGCGACTATTATTTTAAAGGTTTAGGAACTGATGTTGATTTTGTTAAAGCTGCCACTTGTTATCAAATAGCTGCTGAAGTTCAATTTAGTGCTATGGCCATGTGGAACCTTGGTTGGATGTATGAAAATGGAATTGGTGTTTTTAAGGTACTAGGAGCTTCTTTCTTAAAAGTAAACAATAAGCAAAAATAAAAATATAATTAACAAAATAATAAATTTAGGATTTTCACCTTGCTAAAAAATGGTATGATCGATCATTAGCAACAAATCCCGATGGTTATTTACCAACAACATTATCTTTAATCAATTTACATATTAAAAGATTATGGGAATATCTTAGTGGTAATAATAGTAATGTTAATAACAATAAAATAATAGACAAGGAAGACAATACCAATAATAAAAACAATGATAATGATAACAATAACGAAATTGTTGACAATGGCCAAAAAATAGGAAAAACATCAAATAATAAAGAAAAAAAGGATGATGAAACAGATAACAGTGGTAATAATAATTCAATTGAAACAATCTTCCTCTCTTCTCCTCATTTACCAATTGCTTCTCCTTCTTCATCATTGACTTCTACCAACGACAATTCTAATCCTAATAATGATATAAAACATACTCGTAAAGATTGGGATCTTATTGGACCAGAAGGCGAAAAATTAATAGAAAAATATAATGCACATAAATATGGCGGTGATGATGATGATTTTGATGAATCACCATTTTCTTCTTTTGCTACAGAAGAAGATGATGATGACGATTTACTTATTTCATTAGACATATTTATTATATTATTTTGCTGTTTCTTCCTTGCATGGTTAATTTATTTTAGACAATTAAGAAATCGTGCTATTAATGACAACAACAATAATAATCAATGAAGAGATGGAATACCAGCAGGCAGTAATGCAAATGGTTATTAATGAAAATGGAAATGGAAATGGAAATGGAAATATAATAGGAAGGGTTGGTGGTGAAGATGAAATTACTTTTGGTAGAAGATATGACTATATATGTCGATGATAAATGGCGATGACTCTACGCACAAAGACTTGTATGGGAAAATATTAGAGGCTTTAATAATATTTTTCACCGCTAAATTTTATACAGTTTTTACCTTTAATTAATAATAATAAATCCTTTTTGTTTATTTAAACGATTATTATATATTTTCTCTTAAGGAGTGGCGTAACACGATAATTTTTAATAACAATACCATTAATCTAAGAAAGAAAGACCTTGACAGTTTAAGAAAAAGATTTATAAGTGTAATGTGATGTTACGACAGTGAAAATCATGCCATTGTGTAGCTTAGGTTCTATGTATGGGCAATTGGACAATAGAAACGGGCCCATTAGGTGGTCGGTCAACTATCTAGATCAAATATATAGGTCTCATACGGGGGCTCCAGGAATATGTGGTTAGGGACCTCTCTGACTAAAATTGAGTTTTTTGCATAATATATATCTATATTATAAGGATTACAACTGGTGAGAAAATCAGACCATGTTTTCTTGGCACAATAGTGAGATAGATGCAAGACTTTAAAAATTTGATATAAATATCAAAAACATGTTTTATGTTCCTAACCACGTTTTGCCTCCTAAACGTCAAAATAGTCATTTAAAAAAATGCAAGAGACTCTAAAACACAAAATTTTAATGTTTTTGATAATAATAAACTTTTAGGTCCTGATGTAAATATATATGATTTCCTTGGACGAAATAATAATTGGTAAATCATCATCTGACAATGAATCAAATGATGAAATTTGGTATGATGAGACTTTTGAGGATGATTTTGACCTTCAATTTTTTGATAAAACGAGTGGCAGCAAGTCCTATTTCAAAAATATCTTCTGTTATATTGGTAATTACGATTAGCAATTGACACCATTTTTTCCAAAAAAAGATTCTCTAGATGATATTATGGTTGATAACAATGATAATGATGACAATATGTATAGAAAGTGCTGAAATGGATTTAATTAAAAAGCTTGAAGACGTTTTGTCAACATTATCAGTTCTAGAGAAAGATAAAAATAATGATTCTGGTGATAAAATACGCGTCCAAACAATGCGCCAATCTTTTAGATTACGCATTAAAGATTATGGTGCACATAATGCAAGCAAAATAATTGCAGAGCATATTGGTGCAAAACCTTGATGTGCTTGTTTGATTCGGACATGGTCTAATTAATTTCTAAAGGAAAGACGATATACTTCCAACTTCAAGAAGATGGAAACACCAAAAATCAAAAGTTTAATGTATGGTGAAAACCTTCATGGATTTACTCGTGGAATACCTTTAGTCAAAAAAGTGTATTAAAGATTTTAAAAAATACATTGAAGAAATATTCCCTTCAATTGAAATTGAAGAAAAAAAAAATAAGTGAAACAACTGTACGTGTGTGGCTGGGAAAACTTGGATGGAATCACCAGAAAATTCGTAAAGACATCTACTTGGATTAATCATCAATATCAGTGATTTGTTGGCGAAAGGAAGGTATTTATTTATTCATTCTTATCTTTACAGATTCAAAACAAGGCAATTCCTTTCAAGGCGCAGTTGGCAGTTTTTGCATTTGACAATACAAATCAGTCATTCATGTTTTGCTAATGATGTTTTGATTGCTACCCGAATGAAGCTCGGGCCTAGTAGTGATAAATATACTTTTAGAGATGACATATTACCTATATAGTAATAATACATTTAGAAGATGGAAGGCCATAATAAAATAGAGAAGTACTTTTGGCCAACTGACAGAAGAATTTCCCGAACACAGTCAAAGCTCGTTAAATTCATATTCGACAAATTCATAATCGCCTAAATTCAATAACTAATGCCAATTATATTAAATTACACTCTATAATTTCATAATCATGATAAAATTTCGATAATCGATAAAATCATAATTCTCTTACTTTTATTTTAGGCTGTCTAATGTTGTTGTTTGACGAAATGTTGCCAAATTTGCAAACTATTACGTGAAATTCGCTGCCGTCAAGTCAAAAATGACGTAAGTAAAATTGCTTTAAAGGCTTGTTATCAGGTAGGTCCGACGTATTACTGGCAGAAATAATTTTTTTTTCTTTAATTCAAATATATTCTTATTATCAAACAATAAAACTGACTGTATCACATGATTATAATATAAAGTTGCAAAAATAAGTTTATTTATTTCTGCCAGTGATTACATAGGACCTGCCTGATAATAAAATATAAAAAGCTTACAAAAAAATGTATATAATATATTCCGAGGTCTCTTCAATTTTATATTTTTATATTTTTCTTGTAGCTAAATTTTTCTTTTAATACAATTACATACTCGAACATTTCTTATATTAATATTAATAACATGATAAATGATCGGATAGATAAAATCATCAAGTACTTTAGGTTCCAGGGTCACTAATTTTAGTGTAGGCCAACATAATTATTATGATCAAGTTACTTTGCAATAATAAACCTTTATTGACTAACTTGAATAGGGAATAGCTTTGGGTCCAAGCAGAGAAAAATAAAACTCTGATAAAATCATTATTTTAAATAAAATTAACCTTTAATAAACAAAGACGTTGTCTTTATTTTCTTTGTTTAAAACACTTTGATAAAAGGGAACAGGCGTAGTTCCTTGGTAAAGGATAACAATTGTGGAGCTTTGGTAAAGAGCCACGTTTTATTTGCAAGCAAGGTTAGGACTAATGTTGATTAACTAGTGAGTGCCGTCCAATAGTTAATTGAAAACACTGGTAGTATTATTGTAATCGTAAACATAAGGCTGTTAAACAAGATATTTAAGTTATTTCATAAAAGTGAGTTTGCAATTGGCCAATAAATATAAACAAGAACTAAAGTAAATTTGTAAACTAATTAATTAACAAGCACCAAATTATTTGCAATTAACAAACAAAGAGTAGCCCAAAAGTAAGTCATAATCAGCCATGCTTGTTAGATAATCGTATTAATCAAAGCAAAATATCACCATTTAACAAGAATAAAAGCGTAAGAAGTTTATTATTTGAAATAAAAAGATAAAAAATTATAATGAATAAATTTATATTAGTCATTCATCGATTCTTTTGTTAACTATTATTACTAGAATGCTCCTTAAATAATTATAATTAAAAATATTGTTATATTTCAAATTAATTGATTTTATTCACCTTTGTTAACATTTTAGAGAAAAAAGTTACAATCAAGATTATTTAATGAACTATTACTTGTATAACTTTTTAAGCTTTTAGATTTAGCAATCTCTTCATCTAATATTCTACTTTTATGATATGCATCTGGATGTGATTTGTGTACTTGTTGTGAATCACCACTAGTACTACTACTAATACTATTATTGATATCATTATCATCATTATTTCCACGAAGTTCCTTATCTTTATTAATAGAAAATCTAACCAGCTCTAGAATAGTCGGTCTTTTTGATGGATCCACATCCCAACACCTCTGCATAATTTGTGCATAATCATCAGGAATTCCCAGTAATATTGGTGGCCGTAAACCTGCACATATATTAAGCATTAAGTGATGATTGTGAGCTCTATCATCGAATGGTGGATGACCTGCAAATATTTTCCACATTAACATCCCAACACTATAAACATCTGTTTCTTTTGTGTTATTTTTGCCTCTAAATAATTCGGGTGCAACATATGATACAATTCCATAGACTTTATCTGATGATTTTTTATCAACTGGTCCACATAACCCCAAATCTGTAATATCACAATAACCTCCTTGCAATAATAAATTACTACTATGTAAATCACAATGGATTAAATCTTTTTATGTATATCATTTAATGCAAAACATAAATAATAAAATATTGTATTTCTGGCTTTTAATGTTAAACTTAAATAATTTTTTTGCAAGTATTCCCTTAAATTTCCTACTGGAAAATGAGTTAAATTATTGCATAATTTCCATTATCTGGGAATTTAGTCATACAATAGCAATCAACTATCATTGATGATCTAATTTTACAATAATTCACTGCCTGAAATAAAAAATAAAATCAATTAATATTATATAATATAGTATTGTTTTAAATGAAAACTACCAACAAACCTCATCAAAAAAGGCTTTTCCTGTATCACTTAGATTGTTTAAACTTTTTAATACTACTCTTTGCCCTCCAAAATAACTAAATTCCTTTTTATTTTCATCATAATCATTTATTTGTCCTCTTGTCCATGTAGCAGTATAAATTGAACTAAATCCACCCTCTGTTAACTTTGTCACTTTTATGAATTGCTCAAAAGGTATCCATTCTAAAATATAAGTTGGTAGAGATGATTTCATTTGACATTGTTTTGTTGGATAAAATCATCAATTATGTTATTTCTGGATGTCCAAGTGGTGAAAAGACTCTGTAATTGTAAACTAATACAACCTTCACAGAACCTAACAGAGTATCTTGTCAATTTACACTTGTTGCATTCTTTTGGTTTGCCTTTTTTACCCAATGCATTACCTAATTCAAAATCATAAATATACTTTTCCTTACAAAATTCTTTTTCATTCTCAGAAAGCTCCTTGTTTTTTTTGATTAATGAAAAAAAATAATATCTTCTACTTTCTTCATCACTATTATTAGTATTAGCATTATTAAGTATTTCATCATAAATTTTACATACAAAATCCTCTCTTTCTTGTGATAATGATGATAATAGTTTATTATATGACATTATACAAAAATATAATATATAAAATTCGACTTTTCCTTAATATTAACATAAAAGAAAGAATGTTGCAGTGTTACTTTCTAAATGTCGTAATTTTTGTGTAGATTTTTATAATTGTGTAATATTTTCTTTTTATATGCTTTCCTAACAATTTTACCCAAGTTTGAATGCACAGTGAACAT